TAATATATATATATATATATATATATATATTTCTTAAAATTTAAATTATCTCTTTTAAAAATTTTAAATAATATTATATAATAATTAAATTTCTTTAAATTGAAAATATAAATAAGTATAAAATGTAAAAAAAATGAACACAAAACTTGATTATACTATTCTCAAATAAAAAAAAAGATCTAAAAACTTAAAAAAACCTAAAGAAAACTTTAAAATATCAATATTTTTCTGATAACATTTTTAAAATCTGTTACAACCTATTATAATATTTGATGCATGTGAAAGAAGATTATCAATTTCTTATTTGACTATTTCTTATCAAGTTAGCTTATGTTTCGTTACGATTATTCGGAGGAAAAAAAAGGATACGAGTTTAATATTATAATCCATGTGTACGTTATTCATCACGTGTCAACTTCGTTCTTACCGATGGATTGGGTGTTGTATATCAACTTGTACCAATTACCCGTCTGCCCGACGGTTAATTAAGGATTGGGGCAATGAGGCCCAGCAATGCAGTTTCCGTGATAATAATTATCTACGATGGTAATTGAATAGATTGTTACGCCGTCGAGCAAATCGAGACATCGAAGAACCTAGAATAAAAAAGAATCAAGAAACTTTTGATGTTTTATTTATGGTAAGTATTATGGGAAGTGAATATATTGTAGGAAGTGAATACTATTCTTAGGTTAGGAAATTCTATGAAAATAGATTATTTGATAGATTATTCTTCTATTACTTTTTATCTTGAACTCAAATTATTAATAATACGGAATAAATAAATAATAAAATAATATCGAAATATTAAAACAAGTAATATTATAATATAAAAATAATTTATAAAATGTTTTTTTCATTGAAATTAATTTATATTTAATTTTTAATATACATTTATAATATACATTTCTAATATATATCTAAATAGATATTTCTATTTTTTCATTAATGTCATCTATTTTGTAATGTACAAGTTTATTTGACACAGTAGAATATAGAATATAGAATATAGAATAATTTGGTGGAGAATAATGGAACAAAAATGGTTAATCAATATTTATAAAAATTTAACAGAAGAAAAATAGTACTATTACTTTTTTTATATGCTTTGTTATTTTTATATATGCTTGTTATAACAATATTATTATGTTATAATGATAAAAAAAAACATTTATACTTTACATTCTAAATTTTTTTCAATTTTAATTATTGAATTTATTTTTTAACATATTTTTTTATACATCTTAACTTCTTTATAAAAGAATATATACAATTGTCTTTTTTTTATATATTTCTATAAAATTAATAAAATAATATAAAATAATATATAAAATAGAATAATTTTATCTGAAAAATAAGAAAAAATAAGTTTTCTAACTTCAATCATTATCTTTTTTTAAATATATTTTTTATAATATATTTCTAACATAATTTAACTTTTTAGATTACTCATCTTTTATCTGTATGTTTTTGAAATATCGGTAAGGTGAATAATTCTGGTAGCAAAGTTAGTAAGAAGGGAACGCTTGGTGAGGCGAGCCTGCAGGCAAAACGGCTGGACGAGATCATGTATGTGAACGTGAACAAGTAATACGTTCATAGACGAAGAAAAGGTAAGGGTGGCACGCGCGGCCCGCTTCTATCGCTTCCGGGCATCAGCGTGCTCGCGAGCCGCAGCTAATTGCTCTTTAATGCAAGCGAGCGAACGAGCGCGTTGCTTTTCTTAGATGCCGAGGGAAACTGACCGTCGTCGTCCTGTACGCTGTAAAAAAGAGAATACACGAGATTTATGTCGGCCCCCGGACTTTTCGTCACGCTTTGTTTAGGATACGGTTTTAGTTTTGAGAAAACTCTTGGGGCTTCTTCCTTCTTTTTAATTGCAACGGGTAACTGTGTCTTTGATATTGATCTAGAACTGGATAGACCACATAGTCGTTTAATAATTAGGGTATGTGCGTAGATTAGAAAATAGAAACTTTCCTGTTTAAAGTGATCACGATATTAAGTAATTCGATAACATTAAAATTTTTTCTAAATATTGTATACTAAATTCTATTTCAAATATTCATATAAATTTTTCATATTTCTTTAGTAGCGATACAAGTTTACAATTTTGATTTCTCTTGTTTTACAAACTTGATGGTTCGTTGAAATGATAATTCTTTATTGTTTCTTTTGTATAGTTAATAAAGAAAACAAGATAAATATAGCTTTAAAAAAAAGAAATATTAAAGTAATGTACATTCAAAAATTTTTTCAATAATGCACATTAATTTGCGTAGAATTTCAAAAATTGAGTATCGTTATGTAGTTTACACACAAAAGGAAGAAAAGAAGGCGAAGAGTAATCATTCTAATCATTCGATTTACCCGATTTTTTTCTCAGGTCAGTCTCAGTTGTTTATTCAGCTCTGGGCCACTGGTAGTACATATAACACTGGCAACAAAAATGAAGGGTAGAAAGCTCGATTCGCCGAGGCATGACCAACAGAGTCCTGCAAAAGCTCATACATATGTAGACGACTCGGTCGGGACATCAGGAACCATGGGGAGGACCCTCCGGAAAAATGAATATGCAGCCCCATAAAAGGTATTATTTTATAAAATTTATCTTGGCAAGATATGTATTTTTCCATCGTTCATTCTCTATGTATCTAGTACATGTTAACGAACTATCCAGATATGCTCTTGCGACTAACAGCATTTTTCAATATAAGAATTGATATAAAGTGATTTGATTATAAATAAGTTTGATTGATAAAGATTTATATTAATATTGAAAAGAGCCAGATATCGAGACCAATTTATTAAAGGGCTAATTTCTGGAAGAATTTAGAATTGTAAGAATTATATATTCAATATGTTACTACAATTTCTTTTTTAAAGAATTCAATTTTTATTAATAAAATTATTCTTTAAAATAATTATATATTCTATTTCAAATATTTACAAATACTCACTTTTCATCGTGATTCAAACGAGCGTTTAAATGATTTCTCATTCACATCCAGCC